TTACCCCCCCCCCCCCCCATTTCTAAGAAAATATTGGAAGAAGAAATGGTGGCATTTTTACTAAGCGCCGCACCTCTTTTTTTTTCAATTTATAAAGCATGTTTCGGTTTACGATTTTTGACTTAAATTATTTTCAAATCATTTTATATGACAAATGGTATAAAGTTAAAAAAATGAAAATTACATATTGAAATACTACATTAAAAGATCTACAAAACTAGTAGTGATAATAATACTTTATTTTATCAAATTGCTAACGAAAATAGAGAAAAAAAGTGAATGAAGTTTGACCCTGTGAATAGTGAACATGCATTATAATTTGGGACGGAGGGACTATTAATGATGGCAGTAAATATTTTGTCAACTTTAGAGTTGTACTCAGTGTCTTGTGACATATTTTTTTTATGAGTAATGCTAGAGTTGCAAACAAACAGTTCTCAAAATCCACAAACTTACTTTTTTAATATTTTTCTAGAAATAAGATGCACTCAAATAATAAAATATTTTAATTCAAAATCCACAAAAAGCATGTTTGTAAAGTTTGTGAACTATTTGTTTGTGACTCTAGCATTTTCCTTTTTTAACCGATTATGTAAAAAAATAAACCCATTTTAGTTTCCTTTGGGTCAACTAAGGGTTCGTTTGGTGAGTTTTGAAGAAATAATAAGATATGAGTTTTAAAATCAGAAAGAAATGATATGAGTTTTGAAATTTGGAAAAACTGATGTATGTTTAGTTGCAACGTACTTTGTATAAAACATTCCACGTTTTTAATATGTAAATGAAAATGGACAGTGTGTGGCTTAAGAAATGTCATGAATCTCACTATTTTCAAATCAATTTGACACTCTGAATTTATTAGTGCATACTTCATTAAATTCATTAATATTGCAATGCCATATGTAGTTCTATGCAACAAGCAATTACACAGATTTAGTCTGTGTGTTCTTTTTTATTCATTTTATTACTCTTGTGTATATTAGCTTTGAGAACATATTAATTATAAGTATCGGTTTAGGGCTTGTTCTTTCACCAAATTTGATTAGTTTTGATCTAATTGTATGATTATATTTATATTTAAAGATATTTATAATCTGATATGATTTGATTTAATATAATTTCAATAAAAATATATAATTAGTACTCTCTCGGTCCAATTTATAAAGCTTGTTTCGATTTACGATGTTTAAATAAAATTATTTTTCAAACTATTTTATATGAAAACTGGTTTAGAGTTAAAAATAAAAATTACATACTTCCTTCGTCCCAATTTTGGTTACAGTTTTTTCTCTAATCTCTCAATAACTTTTGTTTATTTGTGTGTTTTCATTGATTATTTGATAAAATAAACTATTCTTGTCACTTTTTATTTTGTAGAATTTTTGACCAAGTTTTAAATAGGTATTTTTTATTTTTTATTGAAGTAATAGTTTGTAAATAAAATGACTTCAAAAGATACGGAGTTTTACCTCGTAAATTCCAATTTGTAATAAAAATTAAAACGGGGGAAGTTTTAAAATACTACATCAAAAGATCTACAAAACTAATTGTGACATGAGTATATTATTTTATCAAATAACTAGCGAAAAAAAAAAAAGTGTATAAAGTTTAATCCTTTATATAGTAAACAGATAATTTAATTTGGAACGGAGAGAATAATAAAATTTATCTCGTACCTATTAAGATAATTATAAAACTCTCTCCTAGTTGTTGGATTTCATTGATTGCCATTTCCAAAAACCACAATAGAAAATGACTGATATGGGTGAGCGAACACCTCTTGTCTTCCTTTTCAAACAACTTTTCAATTTTCAGACTGTAATAATTTTTGCACAATGGTACTTTTGGCAAGATTCATTTGAAGCCCTATGCTTCGTTCAACCCCGAAAGGGAAATTTTTTACTTTTGTCTCATCATGTTTTACTTTCGTTTACACTTTCCAGGGTAAAACAAAACACACGTTTTTTCCCTTTCACCTGCGGATTCCAAGCATGCCTTAAGCGCTACGATTGGAATCGCGGAAGAAAAGAAAATGTTAAGAAAAGGAAAAAGATAACATTGAAGAGGAAACAAACTGGTTACAATTCAATCAATCTACAGTTCATTTTCCTATTCTGAGAGGTATTAAGGGGGTAGGGGTCAATCACACTATATTATTTTGTTTTGTCCAAAATGTCAAAAGAATGAGTGGTGCATCTAAATGACAAAATGAAGAAGAAAATCAGAAGGAATTGGTCAAAAGACTGGTTGATAAAAACAATATCCCATACCTTTGGCCTCCTCACTGTAGTAGTAGTAGCTAGTAGCAAGAAAGCAGAAGAGAAAAGCTTGATCTCTCTCTATCTATCTATCCCCTTCTGCACAGCTCAAACCACACACAAATAAAAGGAAAAAAAATCAAGATAAATAATTTTAATTTTTTTAAAAAACCCCAAGATTTTGTTTTTATTGTAATTATTATCCCCCGGCAGCCTGCATAGCGGCGTCTTCTAGTCTTTTCCATGTTTGTTCGCGCTTCTCTAACAAGTCTCCGGCAATGGCTTCTTTTTCATCATAGTCTCGCTGACACTCCTCGAAAAGCTCAGCATCCATCTCAAGGAACATTTTCCGGACGTTGGAGGTCAGCCCGTGGACTGCTTGGTTCCAGTGAGACTTGACATTCCTCTCCAGTGCTTGAAAAATGATTGGCAAAATGGCATGCCGGTTCAGCGCAATCAGTTCTACTATATGCTCATTGTTCCATAAGAACAGAGCCCTCTCTGCAACCTGCCATTTGAATACTCTTAGGGTCCGCATGGAACTTGGAAAATGCTAGGTGAAGGAAAAATTATGCGAGGAACTTAAAAAAACGGTTCAAAGACTCCAAACTCAATAAATCAAATTTAGATATGAGTTCAAACTCATTTTCATTTTAAAAATTATTACTCATATGAAGACTAATGTAACATTTTGAAGTTTCTATGAAATTTAGGGTTCCTCTGGAAAAGATAAAACCAAAACATAAAGATTTCCCTTGGTTTTTTCTTCCACTACCATTTGACGAGTTCCAAAATCCTTCTAAGCATATTAGTGCTAGTCTAAAAAAGCATCAAGAAGCTGCTCGCCAAGGATGAAGCCCCATTCCCCTAGTTTACATTTGAATATTTTCCAGATCCCTTGTAGTCTGAAGGGTATAAATTAATCAAGATAAGGAAACTTTAAAAGCGAACATAATCAGAGTATGGTTTGATTTTCAACTTGCTTCCAGTTGCATGACTTGCATCACACAAACATAATAGCATTAGGCTATACTAAGCTCAGCAATCAGAGAATATGTCAGATCTTTTGTTATGCTTTTAGTCTTTCAGGTTGGTACTTATTACCCCCTAAATAAACCACACACTATCCTTTTCTTTCTTTGCGTAAGTCACATTATGATAATCCATTTCCTTTGAAGCAAATGAGTAAGTAGTTCACATTATTTATGTCATTTCCAAAATAAATTTCAACCACGTGCTTTTAACTTAAAATTTAAATTGTGTGTCCAATCACATAGGCCGCTGATATAGCAAAGGGGTGGATAATAAATAAGGCATTAACCACTAAGAAAAGATGACACACAAATGCGACATGAAAACGGTGACAACAAATTTCAATTGACAATGATATGAGTGATGTTGATGTCTGGCAAGAGGGTATGAAAGACTAATTCTTTTGTTTTACACTTTTAGTTTGCTACTTGCTAGTTTTTTATCCTAAAACAAGTGTTGATATATCACTCACAGTTAAGTAATTTTATAAAAAGAAAAAAAAAAGAAAAGGTTCAAATTTGTCCTCATTGTTTGGACATATTGGGACCTAAAAATTGTTGAAAAGCCATCTGAAACTAAAGGCAAAGATTAAGAACATATTTTCACCCTTCCACTAATAACTAAACAAATTTTTTGTATAGTTTTATATCTACAAAATTGAAATAAGATATGTAGTAGATAATATAGAATATCTAGATAGTAAAAAAAGAGAAAGCATTCATATGTTTCTCAAGTTTACATATTAATGGGGACATCCCTCTATGTCAAAAGGGGGGGAGGAGACACACCCAGAATAAGGGCCATCATCTAGCTTAGCAACTGCTTGCCTTCTTGTCTTATCACAATCAATAGCACAGTTGCATCTAATTAACAGATCTAATCAATCTTACACGTAATGACCTAATGTCATGTTCTTATTTCATATTTTTACCCTTGTGCATAAGTTATAGTAATATGTCAATCAGATTCCCCCCCCCCCAAGCACGTCACATTTAGAACTTGGTTCAACGGTAAAACTGCAAAATCAAGAAACTGTAAAAAAAATCTGGATGTATAATACTAGTATATAATTCCATACCTGGAAATGGGAGCTATTGAGGCTTCTTCCAATTTGTTTGAAAAGAGGAACCATACAACGATGAAACTCAGCAGGCTGTGTAGCTTCCAGAACTTCTTCAAGCTCACCAATAAAGAGAACCTCCTTCCCGCAATTAGTAACCGGCCAGTACTTAAGCAGACCCCTAATCACCACATCAGCCAATCTATAATCTTTCTCAACATACTGTACAGTGCAGTATGCCAACTGGTGATGATACTCAGACATGCATTTAGCCTTGTGAAGTGGAACTAGAGCTCGGACGAGGAACAGCTTGTGCTCTTCTTTCATTGGCACTGCAAACCCGTTTATTATACTCCCAAGAATCTCCAACAACTCACCAATCCCATTATGCCTCTCCGTTTCGAAGATAAACTTGTAGAAAATGTTGTTTATTGCCTTCCTTATAAACGGGCGATGAACCATAAACTTGCCGTATATACGGTGAAGAATGGTCTTCAAATAATCCCTTTCCCTTGCATCTTCTGAATCAAACAAGTCAATCAGCTTAAGAAGAAACGTGTGGTCGAGATATCGCTTGGCAATCTTGGTGTCAATGTCGGTGGACAACACGTATCTAAGGAGAAGTTCGTACACGAGTTGCAAATGAGGCCATGACGGTTCTAAGAACATGTCATCCTCCTCGGGGTCTCCGCCCCCACCCTCGCCCCCAGCACCATGGTGGGGTGCAGGGGGGAAACAGCGAAAAATATTAGCTGATATCATCCAAACCAGATCCTCCTGCATCAGTTCATTCATCTTGATAGATCCTGTATGGAGTAAATCAATGAGCTCGGATAGGGTTTGGCGCTTGATCTCCTTTTCACGGGCGGATTTCATGGTGTCCGTGAAATTGAATTGCATACAGCAGATTTGAAGCTTGCGGATGAAGAGGGAGTGGCGCTGGGAGGGTGGGACCTCCTTCAACATCGGCAGAATTTCAGCGCTAGGGTTGGGAGGCGCGTTGGCCAAACGCACCACGAGCTGAGACGGCTGGTCCGCCGATCCCGAGGCGGCCGCCGTCGAATCCGCGGCAATCCGCGAAGCATGATTGCAAATCACATCGGGAGATGCGCCGGAGGTAGGTATTGGAATCTCGGCAGCCTCCGATTTGGAAGAACTCTTCTTCCCTCTTTTGATGATCCTGAACATGATTTATCGATTCATTCAGGGAAATGGTGGAATTACCCCCACTCTCTGTAACGATCCCTCATAACAAATTCATATTCCTAACAATAAAGATGAAAAAAAATCGTTCAATCATAGAAATAACAACCTATTGGAACGCAGGTTTGAATCAAAAGCAAAATTCGTCAAGAGAATCTGATTTCTGAGTATCATCAACAGCTATACGAAGAAGATATGATAATAAATGAAGGAATAAGTGCCAGAGAATTGAAATCAAACATGAAAAGGCGAATGGAATAAATGAGGATTAAAATATGAAAAAAAAAAGTTGTCGGAAGATAAAACTGAAAAAAAAAGATAATGAAGAAAGAAGAAGAAGAAGAAAAAGGGGAGAGAGATACCTGGTGTGGTGTGGTGAGGTGAAAGTGAGATCCGATAGGGGAGGAACGGAGCGGAGTGGAGAAGAAGAAGCAGCAAGCAGCCACCAGCCGGCAGCTACATGTGTGTCTTTTCTAGCTAGCTCATTTCTCTTTATACGTGTTTCTTTTTTTTAAAAAGTAAATTTCTAATTAAATTTTCAAAATAGTCTTTTGTAATAAGAGTTTTTCTAAATTAGTCTTCAATAAATTTTAATTACCTATGTGGTCTTCTATAATCGAGATTTATTCCCAAAATAGTCCTTTGTAATAATATATTTTCCTAAATCAGTCATCAATAAGTTTTAATTACCTACGTGATCTTTTATAATTGAGATTTATTCTCAAGATGGTCTTTCGTAAATAATAGAACTCAAATGAGAATTAAGTGAGGGTACTTCTTCTCTGCTAAATTTAGAATTAATTCTTAAAATAATCATTTATAATGAAGTGCTTTTCCAAAATGGTTTTTCTAATTAAAGATATGTATTTGATTTGAAATTTAAAAGATTTTTTTTAAGTTTTAAATAATTCATAAATTATTTATGAGTAAATTCTCAAAATGGTCCTTTGTAATTAGGTGTTTTCCCAAATCAATCTTCAAATGAAGATTAAGTGGGAGATATTTTGGTATTTTAATAATTCAAATTTAAAGTATATTTTCGAAACAATCATTTCTGTACAACTAAATGTAAAATTTAAAAAATACATTGACTATAAATAATTTATGAATTATTTAAAACTTAAAAAAATCTTTTAAATTTGAAATCAAATACACATTTTTAATTAGAAAAACCATTTTGGAAAAGTATATTATTATAAATGATTATTATAAGAATTAATTCTAATTTAGAGAATAAAAAATACCCACAATTAATCCTCATTTGGGTAATATTATTTACGAAAGACCATCTTGGGAATAAATCTCAATTATAGAGGACCACATAGGTAATTAAAACTTATTGAGCACTGATTTGAGAAAATACCTTATTTCAAAGGACTATTTTGGAAATAAATCTCAATTAATCCTCATTTGGGTAATATTATTTACTGCATCATTCTGAAACATGTAATGTTCATTTTCATAAATTTGTTTATTACAATTATAATATTTATTTATGAATAATGTAGTGTTTATTCTGAAAGAACGTAGGGTTTATTATCTCGAATCAAATCAAGTAGTGTTCATTCTCGAGATACCAACCCAATTACTAGGTGAAGCCTCTGTCAAAGCAGGGCAGCGTTCTTTCTTTTGTGTACTGTGTAGAAGACTCGATCCAGAGCAGTGCTGGCTACAACTAAGGCCATAGACGCATTGCTCATTGCTGATCGTCGCAATAGTTGGTGAATCCATTCCTAGTCATAGATGCTCGATCGTTTCATCATTCATTTGATTCCATTCGTTGTTGCTATCGCTGGTGCTCCATTGCTCCTTCAGTTTTTCCCCATATTATTATTGCTGTTGTTTTGATTATTGTTGTTGCTTTTTTGTTCTAATTAGTGCTGGTAGTGAAGGAATTTTTATTTCACTTTAACATTATTATTGACATTTTATAATTTGACGGTATTATACCGAAAAATATGTTATCTTATTTTATAACTTTAATTTTAATATATTTAATTTAAAATGTATTCTAAACTTATTTAAAAAGTTGTGCTAGCACCCCCATGGACTTTCTTTCCCCTTTAACATCATAATCATTTTCTCTTATTACATGTACCATTTCTTGTTCCAAAAGGTGAAATCGCTCACGCCAGGCATCCTCTGCCCAACGGGATTGTAGGAGAAAGTATATTATGATGACTCAACAGACAATAGAGGCTTAGAGGCTGGGACCAGTGTTCACTGCGCACAAAAAGTCCTTCTCGTTTTTTGAAAGGTTACTCCTACAGTGTCGTTGGTGAAGTTCAATCTTTGGTCTCTTGTTTCAAATTTCACCTCTGAGATTAGTTGAGCTACCTATACGGGCATTCACACATATCATTCCTTTTCTCTTATAGTATATTCATCCTGTGAAATTCAATTTTTTTATTCAAATTGAATGAATTTTGAATCTCAATTAAATGAAATTTGTAACGTACTTGGTTCGTCCCTGAATGTTTGTCCACTTTTGACTTTTGGACTGTTCATCTAAGCACTTTGACTCATCAAATTCTCTCAATATGTAAGCCTAAAAATAGTTATGTGTGATCTTGTTTGATTCGTCTTAACATATAGATTATTAATATATAATTTTTATAATTTTTTAATGTACAAATTATAAGATAAAATGGATTAAATAAGTGAATTGAATGGTGTGCAAAAATGAAAGTGGACAAACACTCATGGACGGAGGGAGTATATTAGAATAACAATAACTATATTAGATTGATCTTCTAAAGTACTTTCAAAAATCTATTTCTTTATATTTATATAAAATACAAATTTAAAATAATTAAAGATTAAAAATATGAATATGACACCATCCTAGGAATACTGATGTAAATTAAAGGATTTGGAAGAATTTATGTGAAATTGTGAAATTTTTAGCGTATTTGTATAAATTTTTTTCAATTATATATTCAAAAACTACATCAAAAGTTTTATAAAATAAGATACAATAAAAATATTTTATTTTATCAAATGAGCAATAAAAACACACGAGCAAACAAAAGTTATCAGAAGGCTCAAGTAGTAAAAGTGCAAATTCCTTTGAGACGAAAGGAGTATCTATTATTTTTAGTCATCCATTATTGAGCACACGCTACTGATACCCATTTTAGAGGAATCGGAATCATTACCCTGTATGGGCAATTCTCGTTCGTTAGTGGTTCCGTTTCCGAGCAAACTCCAAATAATTTCTTAAAAACTATTTTTACTAAAAAAAAATCATATAAGTGGCTTCAAACTCTTTTTACTCTGTGGTAAATATTGTGAATCAGTTTTAAACAAATTAAAAATACTAAAAGCATAAAAAACTAAGCCGATTCTGGTGCTAAAAAATTGAGAATCGAAACGGGAATCTTTACCCAGTGGTTCAGGGCAGTTCAATATCAAAACGGTTTCAACAACGGTCACGATTCCGGTTCCTATACCGATTTAGAACCGTGTCCATGAGCTTGGAGAAAGAACAGCAAAAAGAAGAGAAAAGGCAGAGGGCCAGATGACATGAACATTTCTATTTTCCGGAATTACATTATTCACGCATTACACTTTATTATTTTAATTATTTTATTTTTGAGAATATAATTTGCAGGTCCAAATTAGGATTTTTTTTAAATCAGATCTAGTATAGGATAAAATAATAAAAATACTTTATCTTTTCCAAAATTTACCTATTCTATGTGTACGAGGACCTCAAAAAATGCACACCAAGAAAATTATAAACACACACAAACACTCAATGTTTGTATTGAGTGCATGTGTCCATAATTGCCTTGATCGAGGTGCATTTGGCTTGCATTTCTCGGGGTACCCCAAGTATTTTCCTTCAAAAGAATAGAAAAAATGTCAAGTGCATAAATTTTTCCTTAACGCTATGTTTGGCTTATTTTTAGATTTTCCTCACCAAAATAAGTGGAACTTTATTTTCTCTACATTTCAAATTCTCAATTTCTGTTCCACTTTTTTTACTCCTAAAAAAATTATTTTGTTTTCTATTTCAATTTTGTTAATCTTCTTGAACCAAAAATAGAGCATCTCAATAAGAAATTTAGAGGAACACATACCAATAAGAAATGCTACTTACGCACATCAAATTTTGGATTTTAGTACTCCACATGCACATCGTGTATTTTAAACATTATTTGTAAACGTACAAAACGTGTTTAGTTCATAATTTTGAATGTGGTGTATAAATGTATTGATCTTCCAAACCATATTACGGAGTACAAAAACAAAAAAAAACTCACACTTTCTACAAGTGTAAAAGACCAAGGCAATAATTAGCGGGGAAAACAAAAACTAAAATAAATACATATTCTACATACCAGGCAATTTTGTATGGCATATATTTCAACTACAACACAAAATAGAAGACAATTGACATTTAAAGAAAATCTTTCTGGATAGGAGTAAAAAATATGAAAATGATACCCTATAAAAGTTCTAAATGTTTTAAAACCAAAAATAGAAATATAATAAGTGTGATGTAAGAATACGCAATACGCATTAACAGTGTGATGGAAAGATGATGACAATATGGTGAGTGTAACAATGTAATAATAACAGTGTGAACTTTTATTTTGGTTTTGAAAGAGTTAGAACTCTTATTTTGATATTTTCAAAGTTTTTTTTACTCTTATCTAGAGAGTTCTCCGTAGCATTTAACAACACAAAAAGTACAGCTTCATGCAAGTACTGTCATTATACAAAATTATTAATATTATAATTCAGGGTTAAACCATTGGTCTGATTCTGGTACTAAAAGGTTACTGATTCCAATACAGAATAAAAAGTAGAGTACTGAAACAGAGACAGGGCTTCTGGTGAGGTGATAAATGCACAAAGCCTTCCCTTAAAATATAGAGTCACTTTGAAGTCAACTTCACAAGAACTTAATTTTTTTCAGGCTGGGGTGTGGAGGGGGGGGGGGGGGGG